AAATCTAACACGAACGCTCCCGCCACTCGCCGCACTGCGATCTGTGTGCTGTGTCGCATGCGAATATACATATATAAAGTTTCTTTATATATATATTCTAATATGTGAGTTATTTTTTTATAGTTTTATTTTCATATTATTCACGATAAAGTGTAGTTTATTGATGGAAGAACAGTTTGTATTTTTGTCTGCGTCAGCGAGGCGCGTGGTCGTTTTGGATAAATTCTGTCGTGGCGCTGAGAATTTGAGCGAGGGCGCCCACCTCGACTCGTTAATGCAGGGGAAAAAACCACTGCCCGTGACATGCATATTAATACAGAGCTAATTTACCCCCGCGACAATACCCGAGACACTTTACCCCCGGAACAATCACCCCTGGCGACAATTACATGGAAGGCAGGTGGAGGAGGAGGAGGGGAGAACGTTGGGCGGAGAGAACGTGGTGGAGCGGATGAGGGGAGGGACGTGGGTGAGAAGGCGGAGGAGGAGGAGGGAGAAGGGGAGGCAGGAGGTAGGGGAGGAGAGGAGCGGTGGTGGAGGAGAGGGGGGAGGAGTGAGGGAGAGGAGAGGATAGGGAGGAGGAGCAGCGAGTGAGGAGAAAGGAAAGAGCGAGGAGGTAGGTGCTGGTGGGAGGGGAGGAGAGTGAGGAGGCATGCGGGAAGAAGTACGGGCGACGAGGAAGATGGAATGAGAGGAGCAGTTAGAGGAACGAATGAGAAGTTTAGAGGAGGATGGAAGAAGGGTCGGTGGAGCGGAGAGTGGAGAGGAGGAAAGGAAGAAGAGGAGAATAGGAGTGGAGGAGGAGGGAGAGGAGGCAGGAGGAGAAGAGCGATGTGGAGGGCTAGAGAAGGAGGAGTAGCGGAGGCAGGTGGGAGGAGGGGAGAAGTGTGGTGGCTAGAAAAAAAACGTAGGAGAGGAGCAGGAGAGGAGCAGGAGATGCAGCCTGGAGGAGAGGAGAGGAGAGGAAGAGGTGATCGAAGAGCGATGAGGAGCATGGAGGAGTAAGAGAGAACGGTGGAAGAGAGGGGGAGTGGATGAGGTGAGGAGGTAGAGCGCCCTTCCTCCCCACTCCTCTCCTCTCTTCCTCTCTTCCTCTCCACCTCTTTTCCTCCTCCATCTCCACTCATCTCCTCCTCCTCCTCCACCCTCTCCTCCTCCCTCTCCTTCTCGCCACCTTTCCCTACGTTCTCCCCCTTCTCTTCTCTATCTCCTTTCCTCCTCCACCTTCTCCTCTCTCTCCTCTTCCTACCTCCTCCAACCTCATCTCACTCCTCTCCTCCTCTCTCCACCACCCACCTTCTCACCCTCTCCACAGCCTGGCCCTCGCTACTCCTCCCTTCGTTCTACCTCCTCCTACTTCCTCTTCTCCTCCTGCCTCTCCTCCTTCCTCCACCTCCTCTCCTCCTTCTTCTTCTCTTTCCCCCTTCACCACCTTCTTCCTTCCTCCTCTACCTTCTCTTCGTCCTCTAACTCCTCCTTCTCCTCCTCCTCTCACCTTCTCCCCCCTCCTCTACCACCTTCATCCCGCCTCCTCCTCCACCAACCTTCTCCCCACGTTTCTCCCATCCTCCTCCTCCACCTCCTCTCCTCCTCCTCCTCCTCACCACTCCTCTTCGCCTCCTCCTCCTTCACCCTTCTCCCCCCTCCTCCTCCACCTTTTCCCCGCTCCTCATCCGTCCACCAACGTGCTCTCCCACGTTCTCCCCCTCCTCCTCCACGTCCTCTCCTCACCTACTCTCCTCCTCCACCACCTCCCCACTTCCTTCCCCCTCCTCCTCCACGCACCTTCTTCGCCTCCTCCTCGACCTCCTGCCTGTCTTCACTGTTCGAACAGATGAATATAAACACCAATGAGTAAAATGTCGGGGTATGCGAGCGGGTATAATGTGGTGTTCGAGGCGGTAAATGTCCGGGCGGATAATTGTCCTGGCGGTAAATGCTCGTGGGGATATATTGTTCCGGGGGTAAATGTCCGGGGGGTAATTGTTCCGGCGGAAGTAAATGTCCGGGGGGGGGCTAATTCGTCCGGGGTGTAATTGTCGGGGGGGTTATTGTCCGGGGGCGTGGTAATTGTCTGGGCCGGTAATTGTCTGGGGCGTAATTGTCCGGGGGTGATTGTCCGGGGGGTATTTGTCCTAGAACCATCTATATATATACATCATATATATTGGTGAGCTTTCATGTACCAGCCTGTGTCGATGCTCCCACCTTTACTTACTGCATTTGGCCTACTGGCATGTGATGTGACTGAGAACAGCAGGAGGGGGAACGCATAATTGAACAGGTTTCAGCCTGCTGACCGTGAAGGTTGACCAGTGGGCCATAATTCTTAAGTGGTCAGCTACCCAGTAACGGCATGAGTGACCAATGCCACGAGATGACGGTCTCATGGTTACACAGCATAGATTGTGTGTCAAATGGACTTGCAGAATGTCTTCCCTCTCTGTCATCTCTTTATCTCTCTTTCTCTCTCTCTCTCTCTCTCTCTCTCTCACTATATCTCTCGCTATATCTACGATCCAAAGTGGGATTTACGGACACTTAACGCTGACACTGACGCTGATGCTATGGATGTGGTTTCGCTGTGTAACTGCAACTCAAATGTCAAATGTAGCCTGCAGGTGGCCTCTCTAGGCAGGTGGCTGTTCTCAGCAGGTGACTGCTATCACGCGGGTGGCTGTTACTGCGCGGCTGTGACCGTATCTCGCTATCTTCGTTGCAGCTGAGCGTCATCACGGACGCCGTCTCTCACCTGTCCATGGATCTCGAGCACATGTTTGATCGACAGAACTTCAGTGACGTGACGCTCTGCGTCGGTGGTCGTGAGGTCCAGGCGCACAAAGCCATCCTGTCAGGTAGGAGACGCGCGCGCGAGGCTGAGCGTGTGCCGAGGGATCCTAGAGGCAGTTGGCTTCTAATATTAGTCTGTGTTAGAGAGAGCGGACAACAGACCCCTGGGACTAGTTGCCCTCTAATGAAACGCTGTGTTACTGTTAGACTGAGGAAACCTCTGGAAATAGTTGCCTTTTAATGAAAGCCTGTGTTAGATCCTGTTGACAACAGACCCATGGTAAATAATAGTTGGTATTAAAGCTTTCACATGTTAGATGACGTGGACCATGGACCCCTGGAAATACTTGCCTTTTAATGAAATGCTACGTTGTACCAAGGAAACTTCTGGAAATAGTGGCCCTTTTATGAAATCCTTCATGCGTTTTAATGAAATGCTGCGTTGGACCGAGGAAACTTTTGGAAATAGTTGGCCTTTCATGAAACCCTATATGCTACATCGCGGGAACAACAGGCACTCCTGCGAATAGTTGCCCTTTAATAAAGCCCTTCATGCATGAGATTGAAGCCCCCGTGGGCTGCACAGCGTTAGATACGTGTTTTTGCGAGCGAACCTGGTCACCGAAAGGTCGAAAACACAATCCCAAAATCGTAACAAGACTCGTCTCCGTAGTTACAACTTGTCTCAGTGGTTACAGCACGTCTATGTAGTTACGGCACACTTCCATAGTTACAGCACGTCTCCGTAGTTACGACACATCGCTCCATAGTTGCGACACGTCTCCATAGTTACGATGCGTCTCCGTATCCATCTCTGTAGTTATGCCTCGTCTCGCTCACGGCTCGGTTGTGTGTTGCGTTGTTTCAGCGAGGTCGGCTGTATTTGCAGCAAAGTTGTATGGGATGGAAACCTGCAACAAGATCAGTCGTATCGACATTGGAGACATGGAACATGACGTGCTAATAGAAATTATTATCTATATCTACACGTCCAAGTCGCCCAATCTTAAGAAGATGCCTAGTAAGCTGCTGGCAGCCGCTGACAAGGTGCATAGAGATGCCCTGCATCACCCACCCGCTGCTCCTGCCCCTAGCTCACCCACGCACCACCCATTGCTTGCCGAAGCGCCGCTTTTCCACCCTTCAAAAGGCTCGTCCCCACCCTGCCTCTGTGTCTCGCTCCTGTCCCGCCCGTGCCCTGCCCATGCTCAGTTTGAAGGGTATTTGACAATATTTATTAGCCCTCATCCTAACCCTAACCATAAACGTAATCCTAACTTGAGCAATCACATCCTGGTTATAATACGGGTTTAATGTGCCTTTTCGATGCGCAGTATTTGGTCGTGATCATCCAAACTGTAGACATGCGATGTGTAGACAAGTTTCAGAGCTACAGTTGTGTTGCATTTGGAAATAGCCTGATGTTATGAAGAATTTCGGGGGAAAAGGGTCTTATCGTAATCCGCAATTCGTGGGAAGGACTAGATTTTAAAGGCGGGGAAGAAAATGCAAATGGAGTGACCAATGCGGCATAGGGAATGCGTGCCCGCCCATGCTGATGCAGGTGCTCTGTGTTTGCTTTGCAGTATGCACTAGAGAGGTTGAAGATCATGTGTGAAGAAGCTCTCTGCTCAAACCTGAACATAGACAACGTAGCTGACGTCCTCATCCTCGCAGATCAACACAGGGCTGTCCAGCTGAAAGGCCAGTGCTTAGCCTTTGCCAAGAGGTGAGTGAGGTGACCACGTCACCTTGAATAGTACTGGCAAAATTCATTTCGATCAACGTAAACAAACACTCGCAATCAATAAAGACAGTGTTTCCTATAATGAGCACTTGGTGTCTGTCCGGTAAGGTAAAGCGGTCCTGATTTTTTTTTGGGGGGGGTCTTTGACTAGTTTAGACACGTTTTTATTGATTAACTTTTCGTGGGTATTAAATAAAATCATTGAATTTTGAGTTCAATTAAAAAATGTGCCCACATTTTTTTCTCGAAAATAAAATATTACCTGATCGATATGATTGCATTTATCAATTTTGTATAATGAAATAAATTTTGATGGTGACATTGATTATTCTAAAATTTGAAAATATTACGCAAAATTGGAAAGAGAATTGCTCGTGTGTAGACGGCGAGAGAGAGAGAGAGAGATCCGATGTAACGATAGATTTTTCTTATTCGTTGTAGCCACTCGTCAGAGTGGCTTTATAGGGAGCATGGGATGGAAGGAAATGATTCTGTTGAATCCTCACCTCTACACGGAGGTGATGTGGGAATTAGCGAGACAGCCGCTAATACAAACAAACATGACACCGTTCAAGGTGTCAGCGTGCAACCTGTCAACGGATCTCGAGCGCATGTTCGAACGACAGAGCTTCAGTGACGTGACGCTCTGCGTCGGTGGTCGGGATTTACCAGCTCATAAAGCCATCCTGTCAGGTAGGAGACGCGCGCGCGAGGCTGAGCGTGTGCCGAGGGATCCTAGAGGCAGTTGGCTTCTAATATTAGTCTGTGTTAGAGAGAGCGGACAACAGACCCCTGGGACTAGTTGCCCTCTAATGAAACGCTGTGTTAGACTGAGGAAACCTCTGGAAATAGTTGCCTTTTAATGAAAGCCTGTGTTAGATCCTGTTGACAACAGACCCATGGTAAATAATAGTTGGGTTAATAATGGTTAAATAACGATGCATCTCCATATCCATCTCCATAGTTACGGCACGTCTCCGTAGTTATGCCTCGTCTCGCTCACGGCTCGGTTGTGTGTTGCGTTGTTTCAGCGAGGTCGCCCGTTTTTTTTGAAAAGCTGAGAAATGACCAGGAAAGTCATTTGGACATTGCCATGGACATACCTGTACTATTGGAGATAATCCACTTTATTTACACTGGAAATGCCAACAACGTGGCGAGGATGGCTGAAAAGCTGATAGCCGCCGCCGAAAAGGTGTATAGAGATGCCCTGCATCACCCACCCGCTGCTCCTGCCCCTAGCTCACCCACGCACCACCCATTGCTTGCCGAAGCACCGCTTTTTCGCCCTTCCAAAGGCTCGTCCACGCCCCGCCCTGCCTCTGTGTCTCGCTCCTGTCCCGCCCGTGCCCTGCCCATGCTCAGTTTGAAGGGCATTTGACAATATTTATTAGCCCTCATCCTAACCCTAACCTTAACCTTAAACCTAATCCTAACTTGAGCAATCACATCCTAGTTATTATACGGGTTTAATGTGCCCTTTCGATGCGCAGTATTTTGTCGTGATCATCCAAACTGTAGACATGCGATGTGTAGACAAGTTTCAGAGCTACATAGTTGTGTTGCATTTGGAAATAGCCTGATGTCATAAAGAATTTCGGGGGGAAAGGGTCTTATCGTAATCCGCAATTCGTGGGAAGGACTAGATTTTAAAGCGGGGGAAGTAAATGCAAATAGAGTGACCAATGCGGCATAGGAAATGCGTGCCCGCCCATGCTGATGCAGGTGCTCTGTGTTTGCTTTGCAGTATGCACTAGGAAGGTTGAAGATCATGTGTGAAGAAGCTCTCTGCTCAAACATGAACATAGACAACGTAGTTGACATTTTCATCCTCGCAAATCATCAAAGCGCTGTCCAGCTGGAAGACAGGTGCATCGACTTTATCAAGAGGTGAGTGAGGTGACTGCGTCACCTTGAATAGTACTGGCAAAATTCATTTCGATCAACGTAAACAAACACTCGCAATCAATAAAGACAGTGTTTCCTATAATGAGCACTTGGTGTCTGTCCGGTAAGGTAAAGCGGTCCTGATTTTTTTTTTTTTGGGGGGGGGGGTCTTTGACTAGTTTAGACACGTTTTTATTGATTAACTTTTCGTGGGTATTAAATAAAATCATTGAATTTTGAGATCAATTAAAAAATTTGACACATTTTTTTCTCGAAAATAAAATATTACGTGATCGATATGATTGCATTTATCGATTTTGTATAATGAAATAAATTTTGATGGTGACATTGATTATTCAAAAATTTGAAAATATTACTCACAATTGGAAAGAGAATTGCTCGTGTGTAGACGGCGAGAGAGAGAGAGAGAGAGAGAGAGAGAGAGTAGACTCCGATGTAACGATGGATTTTTCTTATTCGTTGTAGCCACGTAGAATTCATAGGGTCCCACAAGTGGAACCAGATGATACAGTCGCATTTTCAACTCGCCATGGAAGTGTATTGCGCAGTAACAAGCCAGCAGGTGCGTCCGATCGGACAACCGATCAAGGTGCCTGAGTGCAACCTTTGCACGGATCTCGAGTGCATGTTACAACAAAAGAGCTTCAGTGACGTGACGCTCTGTGTCGGTGGTCGTGACGTCCAGGCTCACAAAGCCATCCTGTCAGGTAGGAGACGCGCCCGCGAGGCTGAGGCTGAGGCGTGTGCGTGGGCCGTTGGCTTCTAATATTAGTCTGTGTTAGAGAGAGCGGCCAACAGACCTCTGGGACTAGTTGCCCTCTAATGAAACGCTGTGTTAGACTGAGGAAACCTCTGGAAATAGTTGCCTTTTAATGAAAGCCTGTGTTGGATCCTGTTGACAACAGACCCATGGTAAATAATAGTTGGTATTAAAGCTTTCACATGTTAGATGACGTGGGCCATGGACCCCTGGAAATACTTGCCTTTTAATGAAATGCTTCGTTGGACTGAGGAAACTTCTGGAAATAGTGGCCCTTTTAGAGAGCTTGGTGTGACTTTAGCTTTACTGGCAATGCCATAGCTGCCTTTGCTTCACTGCATCTTCTTATGTGTCAACGTAAACAAACACTCGCAATCAATAAAGACAGTGTTTCCTATAATGAGCACTTGGTGTCTGTCCGGTAAGGTAAAGCGGTCCTGATTTTTGTTTTTGGGGGGGGGTCTTTGACTAGTTTAGACACGTTTTTATTGATTAACTTTTCGTGGGTATTAAATAAAATCATTGAATTTTGAGATCAATTAAAAGATTTGACACATTTTTTTCTCAAAAATAAAATATTACGTGATCGATATGATTGCATTTATCGATTTTGTATAATGAAATAAATTCTGATGGTGACATTGATTATTCTAAAATTTGAAAATATTACGCAAAATTGGAAAGAGAATTGCTCGTGTGTAGACGGCGAGAGAGAGAGACTCCGATGTAACGATGGGTTTTTCTTATTCGTTGTAGCCACGCGTCAGACCTCATAAGCACGCACAAGTGGAAGGAGATGGTAGATGCCTATCCTCATGACCTCCTCACGGTGCTGTGTCATCGCGCACCAGCCAACCGCAAGCGCCTCAAGCACTATGAATTTGTTTATGGTTTGTGTTATTTCTCAGTATAATTTTAATCTAGTTGGGAACTTGGGAATATGTATATAGACTTTTAAATGCCATACACTCTACTGGGCCATATTATATGGGATTTTCTTCTTTTGCATATTTGCACATACAATATGAATATGAGGAATAACACGTGTATGTGTATGTGTATTATTTTTATAGGAACCAATTTGGTTTAGGCCAATTCTGGCTGAGGTACTGAGGGAGGAGATGCGGCTCCTGCCGCAACTCAGACCAGATTCCCCTACCACAGTCACTACCCAATACGTGAGTTTCGTTTTGTTGTGATAATAATACATTGATCTGATATTTCGCCAGGCTTCATATCTACATGAAAATAATATGAATTAATATGATCTCTCAGTTGCGTCTCTGCTTTCTAGTGATATATCGGTATATATGTATATGTATATATATATATGTATATATATATGTATATATATATATATATATAATATA